AAAGTTGCGATGAAGTTGGCGACACTAGAGGAAACAATTGCGACGATGAACAGTAACGAAAATCGATCGAGGAATCGATCGCTCAACCAGTTCGCGTCGCACTTCTCATCCGTGCAGCTTGCATCGCCCAATTCCGATCATTCTCGTTCAAGTGGAGATCGCTACAGTTGTAGAAGACCTGTTCATATTGGAAGAAAGGTTGAATTACCGCGGTTTAAGGGGGATGATGCGGGCAGTTGGATTGTTAAGATGGAAGAGTATTTCCGTCTCAAGGCTACTGCTGAAAAAAATAAGGTGGTAGTAGCGGAAGGTGCGATGGAGGAAAGAGCATTAGCCTGGTTTCCATGGTGGTATACTCAAACGACTGAAAAGAGTTGGAAGGCTCTGAAGGAAGCCATAAAGCTGCGTTTCCAACCTATACGCAGTCAGAGGACAGAGAACGAGAATCAGGAATCATCGACGAGAACTTCTATCAGTTCACAGAAGTCTTCGCCAACAACTTCCTTCAGTTCCAGATTATTGATAACTGCACAGGTTTTTTATAAATCGCGAGAAACAACTTCTTCTAGTTCTCAGGTGTCTTCTCGCAGTTCGCAATCAGTTGCATCATTTCCTCATAAGTATGTGAGTCAACGGCAAACTCTTGAGGAGATGAGTTCAAAGCGAGTCAGAGAAGACGCATCTAAGTTCAACGAGAGTGACAATGAATGCCAGGGACAATTATCGCCAACAACATCTGTCAGTTCGCAGGCTTCGGCAACCAATTTAATGAAGACGCAATCGAGATATGAACCTCCCAGTTCGCAGATTTCAGCCCAATCAGAGTTTCATATGGCGCAAGTTTCATCGTACCTTAAGGAATCACCTGAGGATACATTCATCAAAAGTGATGAGGAACGTGAGGATAAAACTTCTGTGGTGATTCAGTCCATTACCATGGAATATGAATCTGCCCTTGTTAAAATGGTTGGTTCAAATACTTGGGAAAGCTCTACCAGGACTGTTTGTATAGAGGAGACTGAGGAAATAGAAGAGAATGAATCCAAGTCTGAGAATAAGGAGGACAAAATTGAAATGCAAAACCAAAATAATTTCTCTGCGGGGTTTGATAGTTTGAGCTATGATCAAGGTTATTATTCTGAACATCTGAAAGTTGCTGACAACTGTGCATTACCACCTACAACTGTGTTGCTGAAACCAGAGCAGGTTGTTTCTGGAGTTCCTAATAGTGAAGGTTTTAAGGTTGTTTCTACAGGGTTTGATAGTTTGGTGACCGATGCCAGCTCATTTTCAAAGCCTACTGTGCTTGAAGGGACAGTTGCTGAAGCCACAGAGGACCCATTTGCAAGAATTAAAGCAACGACACCATTAAGAAAGCTGTTTTCGATTGAACACAGCCCTCCAAGTGATAAGTTTCGTGAGCAGGCTACCTGGGCTTTAGGAAAGGTTTCTTGTGATGACCCAGGTTGTAGCGATCAAGGTCTTGGTCATGGTGCAATCCTACCATTGCTAGTTCCGTCAAATGAGCATTCAGAGCTTTTTATGTTGATAAATTCTACAGGGATTTTATCAAACTCATGGCGATGCAGGACACCAACTCCATTTACCCTTTTCAAAGGTGTATTGCCAGTTTATCAGCCATTCGTCCCTATGAAAGAAGAAGAAGTCTGGACTCAAGTTTGTTGGACAATACCTAATATCACTGCTGGGAGTAGAAATATTATAAATGCAATTATTGCGGCATCTATCAATATTCCCTTAGTACACCTCCTTCATAAAGAAGTTTACAGCAAGGAAGAAGCTGCAGGGGCTATATCTTGTTATGAAGAACCTGCAGGCTCTCATAATCAGAATATGTGCTTGATAAGTAACGGCTGCATTAAGATGCTCTCTGATCACTTGTTATGCCAAGATCCAAGAATTGTTACTGCATACCTTGAAGGGCTGGAGAACATTCTGAAAATAGGCAAAGGGGACAAAGAAGTTGGGTTGAATAGTGGGGTCAAGTTATGTGTGCAGATGGTTGACTCTTATGAAGGACTAGACAAGACTGCTAAATTCCAGATTCAAGACAACAATGAGCTCTATGAAAAGGCTGAGAAGACCGTAGAGAAATGCTGGTCTGAAGAAGGGAGGATTAAGGGTCAAGTGCTGAAGATAGGGATACAAAAATCAACAATATATTGGGAAGGAAGAGGCTCCAGGATGAAGAGGAAGTTCAAGATCAAGAAGATCAAGGCTGTGTCCTATCGCCCACCTTGAGGACAAGGTGGTTTTTCAAGGGGGGAGATATGATAGGGCCCTGGGCTGTAGAGAATAATGATAATAATAGTGATAGATTGATATTGAATAAGTTTGGTATTGTATAAATAAGTATTTTGGGCCATGTCATATAATATGGGCTGGCCCGTTAGAATAGAGTACTATAAGAGATAGAAGGAAGGGAGGAAAGTGGTAGGCAGAATTTTAGACTTGGGCTGGGAATTCTGGGAGAGATAGGCTGCTCGAAGTGCCTAAACCTGTATCGTTTCATTCCTGTTCATCAACTACGTTCATAATAAACAACCATTTCCCTCCTTCGATCCTGGTATCTATCACATTCCTAGCACCACCAAAACACTTAGGGTCTGTTTAAATGAAGTGTTCACAAGTGTTAGTATTGGAATTGTTAATGAGTGTTTAGTTCAACACTTGTTCGGGAGAAAAGTTTTTAAAAAATAGAGGTGTTAATAAGTGTTTGAGTGTGTTGACCATAACCTTCATAACACTTGTATTTATCATTTTTGTAACACCCCAATTTGGGGTGTAATGAAGTGTTGGACAACTTGTGCCTTTCATATTTCAAAAATATATTGAACCTACGTACATTCTCCTTCTCCGGTTTATCTCTTTCCTTTCCTCCAATTTTTCATTCATCTTTTTGTATAGAAAATTCACATGTTAGTATATATTGCTCCTTCGATTTTAAATATTGTCTCTGCTCCAATCGACTTTGGCCGTTCAGTTCTCGACGGCATCAATGGACTTTGCCTGTTGAGTATGAGATGATGCAATATCGTGCCATACTGTTCAGTCTTATTACGATTTTTTATTCTTGTTCTTCATAGTGGCATCAGATTTGGAAATATTTGCATTGATTATAATATATAATAGAAAATCGTAAAATGATAAATTAGTTTTGGGATTAAGTGAACACCAAAAACACAGAGAACAACAAATGATAAATTAGTTTTTGGATCAAGAATCCTAAAATGGAATTGTATGTTTCTGCATGCGTGAATTGCTGATCTTCTCCAAGCATGCTATTCAGGAAATTTGGGTTTTGGACCATTATGTATTTGCAGAAATATATATATATATATATATATAATATTATTGGAACTTAATAATTTAAAGATTGTAGGGTTATTTTTGTCAATTTAAGTGAAAACACTTCCATTACTAACACTTCATTTTTTAACTCTCCCAAACAAGGTAAGTTTATGTTTTACACCTACATTTACCTTCCGTTACGGGTCCCTGCCAACCCTTACTAACACTTCCATTACTAACACCTTTCAACATCTTGATCTTCGAAGAACCAGCATCCATGCCATGACGAGAACTTGATACCATTGCTTTCCTCAAAATCATCACTTTGGTTTTCAGCATCTCATTTGCATTCTCAAATGCCATCTTGAGGCCTCAAGGCATTCAAGCCAATCCGACACGGGGTTGAGTCCTTCCTCAATAAGCGCTTGAATGAATATCTTCGCTATATCCTGAGTCCTGACTATCTTGGTCGCTAATAGACGATGTGCTATCACTAGCCATGTTCGGACACCAATTGTTACACATTAAATTTCGTTACTTTGAAATTTCACTTGCGCGGCCTATCTTAACACTTAGATAGTCAGCTTTACTCACAAACACGTTTACTTAGTGTTTAGGGACGTTTAGAACACTTAAGGAAATATTTAAGGAACACACACTTTACGGTCCAAGACCAACCTTGTATTACTAAGGATGTTTTTACTTGGACTGTAGTTTGCTGGTCTGATATGGTTTCTTTGTATTTTTATAACTACCAAGTCTGGTCTGGTCTGGTCTGATCTGGTCTGGGACGAATTACAGTCCAAGTAAAAACATCCTAACTCAAGAATACACAGGAATATACAAAGCCCAATGCCACACACTATCTTTTGTCTACAAAATTCATGGCATGGCATGGTCTATTTTTAGACTTGACCAAGTCTAGACTGTCTAGCAGTCACAAGCCAACTCCCTAGCCGTCTAGTCTAAAGGGACGTGGCTTTACAAAGGGTTGGCAATTATAGCCGTCAACTGCCAATGTCACCCATTCAGCCATGGCATCTGTTACTGTTAACCCAAAACCAGCTTTTCCATTCAGACATGAGTCATGCCTGCACCAAAGAGACTCACCCGTTCGAGTTTGCACCCACGCTGGCGCCCACACCAGGCCACCCGCGAGCCAACTCTTCCTTTTCTTAGTTTTTGTGATCAATCCTCGTTGCCTTATGCGCCGCTTGCCAAAATCCCACTTGTCAGCCGACCAACCAACACTTGATTCCACTGAACCGCCCTTGACCATGTCCAACCCATGATGAGCCATGTCAAGCGTTCCAAAACAAAGGCCATGCCATGCACCGTCAAGGCCAACTTGACATGCCTAATTGCATATGACCTGGCCTTGTCACAGGTATACGGATGTTTTCTTTTGGACTGTTTTCAGTCCTAGATCAGATCAGACTAGACTTAAACAGACTAAACCAGAGCAGGCTTAAACAAACCAAACCAGATTTCCGTAGTTATAAAATACACGGAGACCAGATATTTACCAGACCAGATCAAACCAACAAATTTTAGTCCAAAAGAAAACATCCTAACAGTAAGTAAAATCTCTTGATGTTTCATTAACGGTATATTTTGTATCTTTGAATAAGGAATATCTTTTGTTAATGCATGAATCATTCTAACTGATGTTATTTTTGTTTGTTCAGGCCACTTTCTTTTGACAAATCTTTTATTGGAAAAGATGAAACATACATCTCGTGAGAGCCAGAAAGAAGGGAGAATAGTCATTGTTTCTTCAGAGGCACATCGATATCCATACAAGGAAGGAATTCGGTTTGATAAAATTAATGACAAGGAAAGGTAAGTAACTAAGTATTCATAAACTACAAGCCATTATGTTCTAAAAGTTCTAATGCCTAGTGGCCTAGGTGGGGCCTAAGTGGGGCCTAAAAGCTAAGTTATTTTGTTGGTGAGTACTCACTGCTCTGCCCTAAAACTTGCCGAGTTGTCTTCCTACTTGGTCTAATTCAAGAATCCACGTTATTATGCAAGTACTCGCTAATTTTAGCAACTTGGTGAGTCTGGTTACTCAGCAATTAGTTGGGTCTTAGTTAAAGTGGAATATTGAAGGTAAGATTCATCTTTATGAAATTAAAAAGAATTCAAGGACTTCAATTTAATAAATCACTATCAAGGTTTTAATAATTCATAAAACTGTAAGCATTGTGTTTGTCAACATGGAACATGATGGAGATAATGTTCTTGAACAAAACAATGATTAATTTAGGGCATAAAAAATTAGGTTTAATTAAATGATCTGATACTCCTTAAGTACTGCATAACTTTGCTAGTTATTGTGAACATTTTTGTGGCTTTATGTATAACACTTGTAAGACTAACATTATTAGAATATTGTATCACATATATTTTTAAAATTTACTAATACAAGGTCCTAATTTGATTGAGCGCCAAGTAACAAATAATTTAACTACTTACATTAAAGTATATGCTTTTAAAATGAAATAGTGTCCCCTAAACTTTTTTTTAACACGTGCTTGTATTGTTTATAGTATTTACGTTAAATTGTATGTTGAATTGTTGATTTTAATATTTTATATTTTACTTGATAAATGTACATTGTGACTTGTGAAGATAAACTAAATACTGCTAAAAAACTCAGTAGTCGATGCTAATGTTGGTAACTTGGTATAGAACCTAAGCAGCATTTCTGTTTTTGGAATATGTTCCGTAACAACGGTGTATGATTTCAAGTGTTTTTATAATTAAATCACTTGAGCATTTGGCGACGCCTCTCAACAAAGTGTAAGTTGAGTGTTAGGGAAGTCCATCTACATGTGACATGCCATGTAATTAAAACGGAGCATTTGTTTTCTATTTGCTTCAGTTACAGTCCTTGGTATGCTTATGGACAATCAAAGCTTGCAAATGTATTGCATGCTAATGAACTTGACAGGCACCTTAAGGTAATATTACCACATTTTTATCTTTGTAACATTCTTTTATGATGTTTCAGTTTGATTTTCTGTGTTTGATAGTACTTTTCATGTAGTTTCCAGACATACAAATTTTATTTGCTAATACTAAATAAAATGTTAGCATGAAGTTATAAATAAGTTTAGTCGGCCTCCTTGTATGGATAAGACACACAAAATGAAGCAAAGAGTGACATATATCTTTGAATGTTGTGTTGCCTGGAGAACATTACTTTTCTCATTAATGAGCACATAATATTATGTGTGTATAAACATATTCTATCTGTCCAAAAAAAGAAAGTCGTAGTATTTTAGTAAAGCCATGACTTTTTTCAGGACAAAGTTGATTACATTATAGCCACATACTATCTATATCTTTTCATGCAGGAAGAAAGGGTGGAGATTACTGCTAATTCACTTCATCCAGGAGCAATCACCACAAACCTTTTTCGCCATCTCAGTTTCATCCATGGTAAAACTTTCAATTTCTGAAAGATGTATCTTAGTGATCCATGATGGTCATGCTCCATGAATTCATGTTGAGTATTAATTATCAAATCTTGTAATTAAAGATGACTCCAATAATGTGATATAGCATCTCAGATTCTCAGTGAAGTTTTGCCACTACTCGCTATGCATCTCCGCATTCACATTAATATATAATACTAATGTAATAGAGCATCGGAGTGAAACGGTTCTCAATATGTGAGAATTGCCCAACGTTGTTTCTTAATCTATATATAGTTAGACAATGTGATATACTGCCCTTAATAATGAGCTTGTCATCATCTCGTCCGCCGCTTCCATTGCCTTCGCCGCAGGTTCGTTCCCCCTCCTCCTCTTCTACTTCTTCTGCCCGATCCTCAAATGTGCGATGGAGATTGAGGTGCGCGCTAGTTAGGGTTTGGTGACTGAGGATGAAGACTCGGTTATGGGCCTATGGCGTCTATGGTTCGTCTAGAGTGTGAGATTCGACAGCAGTGCCAAGGGTTGGTTGAGTGGCATGGCGAATTCGAGCGGCAAGCCGAAAACTTAACAATGCCGGCTAGGGTTAGAGGAAGCAGGTGGCTGCAGTGCGACTACCGCTAATGGTTAACATCTTGGCGGTTTTGTGTGGCGTCAATGGGTTGCTAGGTACTGTCAGGCTGGGTGAGGCTAGGGGCGGGTGTGGCAAAGGGCAGCACTAGGGGCTGGGTTGGGCTGGTGGGGTAGGGGATGGGACTGGTATAGGAGGGGCGGCGAGGGGTTGGGGCAGTTTTACAGGGGTGGCTGACAACTGGACGGGGCAACGACGGTGGTCAGTTGTCACCGAAAGGGACAGGGTGGCAGTCACTAGACGGGGTGGGCGGTGGTGCGGCGGTGGTTTGGTGATTGTAAGTTGTAACTATAAGTGGCTGGTGGAGGTTACTGGTGTGGTTGTAACTGTCACTGGCTGAAGGCGATCACTATCACCGCTGGTTACGTTTGGTGGTCAGTGGAGGTGGTGATGGTGTGGGGGTGTGACCTACTGGTGACCGTTGGGTTGCAATAGTCAGAAGGGTAAAAATATGAGAATAGTCACATTTTTTGGAATTTTTAAACTTCGTTCTATTTTTGTCCATGACTTTTAGGATGATTTTAATTGAATTGGTTTCAATTCCATATTAGACTAGACCATACATGACTAGACTTCGACAGTTGTAAAATACACATTAAATAGATGTGTATCAGTTTAGACTGGACCAAGCCAGACTTAAATAGATCAGACCAGAAAATTATAGTCCATTAAAAACATCCGTTCAGTATTATTTATGTCAAAACCTCAAAAGTTTTAAACTACAAGAAGATTCATTTATGACTTGGTAAGAATTGTATGCCAAAAGTAAGGACATGTTGACTTAGACTTATTTCTGCTACAATTTGACCGACCAGAATACTCCTAAACAGAATAGATTATACTAGAACAGACTAGACGAAATTTAATAAAACACAAACATACAATGCCAAACAAATTTAAACAGACTAGATGAGTAACTTTTCGGTACAAGAGGTCTTTCAAAAAGTTGTTGCTCGACTCTTTCTATGTGACAGAGGCAGTAATACTTTACACTGAATTTCATATCATGTGTGCTAATGTACTATAGTTAGGATAAGTGGAGAAAGTTCCTTTGTGGTTAGATTGTAGAGGTATTCATCGTTTGATAGGACCTGAATGTACCATCGAGGAAACCTTGGATAGTACCTGCCTGGTTCCGCACCTCTTGAGGTTTTCAGTGAACGCCGAATGGTCTTTTAGTTTCAATGACTTCTGGGCACGGGTGCCATTCTTGTATCGATTCAATAGACTTATTTCAAAGTACTTAAACCCAAGTGCGTAACTTTTTCATATGGGAGCGTAGACATTTGGCATTTCATAGACTGAACTACTGATTTTATGGGTCTGATTTTATCTTCTCATAGGTGCTGTCAAATTCATAGGCAAATACGTGCTCAAAAATATTCCACAGGTACTTCCTTTTCATTCTATTGTTCGACAAAGTATGTTTTCTGATAGCATCTGACTTGATGAGGCAAGTATAACCAATTATGCACCACTACTTCCACTAGAGCAAATATATACACATATATGTATATATGCACTTACATAGTACATATGTGTGTGTATCTAGGGATCTGCAAGTATGGTTGTTCTCTTTTTAAAATGACTTCCTTCTGTGCTACGTAGGGAGCGGCGACTACGTGCTATGTGGCATTACACCCGCAAGTTAAGGGAGTAAGCGGTGAGTACTTCTCAGACAGTAACATAGCCAAACAGAGCTCTCACGCTAAGGACTCTGGTTTGGCCAAGAAGCTATGGGTGTTCAGTTTGAATTTGATAAGCTCCTAATAATGATGTGTTGAGCTCTTGAGTTGAACAAAATGAACTCAATGATGGTACAGTATATGGAATTGCAGAGTTTAAAAGGTGGTTCACTTTTTTTATATGTTTTATTATATTGCCATTAAGAATAATATTTACAATTTGAGCACTACTATATAAAATACTTATTTGGTTGGATAATGTCGAGGGCTGTAGTCGTGAGCAAAAAAATTGTGGTGGGTCAATACAAAGATTTTTCCAGAAAAAGCTTTATAATTAAAATACAAACTTTTTTCAAATTTCAGGTGGTCTGGAGCTCGGTTAAGCCCTCTTCCTCCGCCCATGATAATGTCATGTATACAAAAGCTTAGTTTTCCCTAAAATAAATACGAACTTGAACTTCGACATGTCATGATAATGGTAGTGTTTTATTACGTAGTATTATTTTTTGTTAGTCTCCTGTCAATTAATATCTTGTTTAATAAACTCAACTTGCTCAATTGGGGTTGCTGAGGGGTTTCTGGTTCAAAATGATTTATAGAACTTGTTTTAGTTTAAGTCATTCAATTTTAGTAGCCGTATGCAAGTGTTAGGCTGTGTTTGCAACAGTTTCTCAGAAGCACTTTTCTTCTTATTTGCTAGAAAAGCCAAAACTTGTGTTTGCAAAAGGGAGCTTCTACTTATTTTTAATCAAATTTACGTGAAAAGCCAGAAGCAGCATTTGGGTTTCTTTTATCTGATTCTTGGTGATCTGGTAATAGTAGCAACTTGGGGGAAGATTATATTTATAATCAAGTGTTTATTCCGTAAATGTCCATATCTTCTCCCTGTATCTGTGCCGCCCTACACGTCTTCCCCAACCTTAGCTATTCATTCAAACAACTCAGGGTTTTAATAGCAGAGGAATCTTTCAATTCTTTAATTTATCCACTCAAGCATGAGCACATTAATCTACAAATTAGTTCCAACATGTAACAGAATTTATATATATACTCCCTTTGTATTTATATGTTCCCTACATTTGCTTTTGGCACAATATTTTAGGATATAATAGTAACGGTAGTGAATAGTGTAGAAAAAGTATGAGACCGTGTGTAAAAGTATGAAAGAGAAGATAAAAAGTAGATAAAGTAAAAGTGTAGGGAACTTTTAAATACATCCCAAAATGGAAAGTGTAAAGAACTTTCAATTAGGGAGTGTGACCGAGTGAGTATAATAATAACAAAATAGTGGGAGCAGAGTTTGGGTGGGAAGACTAGCTAACATTTTTTTGCTTTTCGTATTCCGTTGGCGGTTTCATTAATTGTGTGTGTTGGTGGCCAATTGCTGTATAAAGTATTGTTGTGTGTAAATAATGACAAGTTGGCCGCATTACTGAACGGCAATTAAAGTTGTGAACCTTTAGTTTTGGTCTTAACTCTTAACATGACAATGACAAGTTTCATATAGAGGTGTTTTTTTCTTTCAAAAAAGACGTTTCCGCTTTTACCACACCATTGTACCCCATTAAAGATTTAAAGAGATTTTTTCAATGCAATACATTAAAAACGACACAAAATGTGGCTTTTCGAATTCCAATGCTTCATTTTAATTGATTAAGAAGCTTTTCTTATTTTTATTATCAGAATCATTCAGATTAGAAAGATTCAGATCAGATCAGAAGCATTCAGATCAGATCAGAAAATTTTAAACATGATTTATCACTTTTATTATTATAAAATAATAATAATAATAATAACAATAATAATTGTTATTATTATTATTACTATTATTGTCGTTATTATTATTATTATTATTATTATTATTTTGTTGATGTTATTATTGTTGTTATTACTTTTATTATTGCTATTATTATTATTTTTATTATTACTATTATCATTACTATTATTACAATTTTTACTATTATAATTATTATTTTTATTAGCTTTATTATTATTACTCCATATTATTATAAATATGATTATTATTATTTTTATTATTGTTATTATTACTATTATCATTACTATTATTACTATTTTTACTATTATAATTATTATTTTTATTAGCTTTATTATTATTATTATTACTCCATATTATTATAAATATTATTATTATTATTATTATCATTATAAATATTATTATTACTGTTACTCTTACTCTTACTCTTACTATTACTATTACTATTACTATTATACAGAGTAATTATAACTTGAATTACAATTATAATTATAATTATTATTATAGAAATAAATATTATAATTACAATTATAATTATAGCTATAATTATAATTAGGGGTAGTAGTAGGTATAACTTTTTATAACTTTAATTATAATTATAATTATAATTATAATTATAATTATAATTGTAATTATAATTATAATTCTTTAAAATAATTATAATTAGGGGTAGTAGTAGGTATAATTTTTTATAACTTTAATTATAATTATAATTATAATTATAATTATAATTATAATTGTAATTCTTTAGAATTATGACTATAATTATAATATTATTCAAATTATAATTATAATTATAATTAAAGAAATATTCAAATCAGATCAGATCAGAAAGATTCAGATCAAATCAGACCAGATCAGAAAGATTCAGATCAGATCATACCAGATCATACCAGATCAGAAAAATTTTGATCAGATCAAATCAGAAAAATTCAGATCAGTTCAGATCAGAACTTAATAAATTTAGATTAGAAACATTCAGATCAGACAAAGAGAACATCTTCTAATATTTTTATTTGGAAGCAGGAAGTACACCTCTCCGTCTTTGAATGGTATTTCAGTAAACACGTATTTTCTGATATATTGCACTTTGTACTTTTTTTTTAGGGAAAACTGTCAAATGAGTCCACGTGCTATATTGAAACAGTCAATTGAATCAATATAGGGAAAAGTGTCAAATAGGCCCCCCTACTAATATGGAAAGTCAATTAAACCCCTGAACTAAATATAACAAGGCAAAACAGTCCTTTTAGCAGGATATTAAGCGGTTAAAAAGAGATAAGGTAAAAAGGAAAGAAAGAGAAAAAGAGAATGTAAAACATGTCACATCATTAGCCACACATGCAACTTAACCGGGAACGGTTAATATCCTGCCAAAAGGACGGTTTTGCCTCATTATATTTAGTTCGGGGGTTTAATTGAATGTTTTTTTTAGTTCGGAGGCTTAATTGACTTTTTCGTATTAGTAGGTGGATCTATTTGACACTTTTCCCAATCCATATACTATTTTATCAATCAAATGGGTATACAAAGTCTCAAATTTTAATCAATTTTGCCATTTGATAGGTTAACAACTGGTGACCCGTTTTTTTGTTCATGTGTGTAGGTCACATAGGCTTTTTTTAATACTTTTTCCTTTTTTCATTGTTCTCCCCCCCCCCCCCCTCAGCCGACGCCTGCAACACCCCCTCCCCTAAGGTTTAACGTTTTATCACTTACACCCCTATAGTTTTAAAAATATGCAACAACCTCCCCATATTATTTGAGAGCGTTAACTTCTAACGGAAGAGTGTAACCTCAAACACCAAAGCTAGCATGCTAAATTAAAAACCATCCAAATGTTAAAATGATAAATTAGAAACCCCAGCACACATGTTTTGAATATACAAAAGCTAGTTAGAGTATCACTCTAAATAATACCCAAAAACAAAATAGACAGGCTATGATCGATAATGTAAATGTGCAGTACATAGGTTCACAAGGTTGATCATATACCCATCTACTTTTTAACTCTTTTTCCTCTAGTAACACTACTTGATGCTACACTCATTTGTGATTGTTTACTTGCTTCAGGTTTTGAAGCTGCGGATGGTCTTCTCTTTTTTTTTTTACCCTATCAAGAAAAAAATTGTAAATACAATGTGAGGTTAAAGAGTTATTAATAGTTTAGTGCTAGTAACAAATTAACTAAGGCATAATTAAAACGACAAACTACCGTCCAGAACATACTTTATTGAGAATAAAAACATAAACACATTATTCGTTTTTGTATTTCATAAAATTTGATATGACTTAAAAATCAGAAGTTAATTAATATGTAGTACTTACTAGCAAAAAACATATTAGACTGTTAGTTATTCACCAATATACTACTTGGTCCAGTGTTTTAAATAGCGGTCCGCTACCACTATAGCGGCCACTATATAGCGGTCGCGGTAGGCACCGCTACCGCTACAGGTGGCTATCAGGGTGTGATTTTCAAATCACAGAAAAAATCCGCTACCGGCCGCTACCGGCACTTCCGGCAGTGCATCACGGGCGCACTGGTTGACGTGCAAATGTGTAAAAGTTGTGTGCATGATGTGAAAAAATACATTAATGGTGATGAATGGAGTGAAACTCTAAATTAAATGTACATGTATGATGTATCAACATACATTATGGTAGCAAATATTAATACATATGTAAATTTTAATTATTAAAACCGAATTAATTATTAATAAGAATGATTTAACTTTAAGATCAGTTGACGAAAAAAATGTTGACTTAACAAAACAATTTGGAACGGAAGTGGTATTATTATGGATTATGCATATTCTATTATTCTTATTGATTGATTAGTTGTTAATGTTATAAGTGTTCAAACAAATATGCATAATGTTTCTATTAACTTTAACACCTACCCATTAAATATATGTGATGGATAGTCTACCCGGGGGGTATCTTATCCGAGGGGTTATTACCGGAATAACTTAGAGAGAGGTCAGAGCAAATAGGAGGAGAGAGAGTCGATTTTATTAAATGAACTCGAGATGTGGAGTTGAGATGTAGATGTGTAGATCATGTCCATTACAAGGAGAAATGGGCTGCTATTTATAGCAGCAATAAATGCGATGAGAGTACACGTGTCAGTAATCCAACGGCCGAAGGGTCACATCAGCCTGGTGGTACCGGCAGTGGTACGTTCACCGCATTGAATGCGGTTGGCGGATGTGACGTGGCATTAAATGCGGTGGTTGGCTGTCCCCAAAAGGAATCTTCGATGATTGAGCATGCTTGGCCGAAGGCTTCTTGTGTAGCCGAGGGCTCCGTGTAACCAAGGACCCCTGTGTAGCCGAAGGCCCCGAGTGGCAGGGGGCTAAGTTCAGCCGAAGGCTCCCCTGATGCCGAGGGCTTGGTAATGCCGAAGGCTCATGTTTTTCGCCGTTTTCTCCCAGTGGCTTCGTATGTCAGAGAGGGCTACTTCGTGAGTTTCTGGAGCCTTCGGCCAAGGAGGCCGAAGGCACCCCAGTGTGTATTCTGGGCTACTTTGAGGCTCGGGCCGTTGCATTTGGGCCTAAGTTGTTCTCTGGGCCCAATGGGCTTGTGCAGGAGAAGTAGGAGTCTAAGGGCCGGGGGTTCCTGGGCCATATACTCCATCAATATGTTTTTCAAATTTGAAAATATTTAACGCCGCTGCAACCGCTACAAGCGGCTACAGTCCGCTATAGGCCGCTACCGAGATGACTGCTACGGCTATTTAATTCACTGACCTGGCCTATAAACATAGGCAATTT